AAACTTTATGCTTATTAACTAGTAATCCTCATTTTCCCCCATCCCCTGGCACCATCATTGCACTCTCTAATTCTATGTATTTGAGTCTTTAGATACTTCATATAAGTGAAATCACACAATATTCATTTTCTATAACTGGTTTATTTTGCGTAGCAAATATTCTTATGGTTTATCCCTATTGTCACAAAAATTAAAAGTAGGACTATCAAATAATCCTGTAATCCCACTTCTGGACATTTATCCAAGAGAATTGAAATCAGGATCATGAAGAAATATTGGTCCTTCTGCAGCACTATTCACAATTGCCAAAGTACAGAAACAACCTATGAGCCCATTGAAAGTTTTAGTGGATAAAGAAAATGTATATGTATGCAATAAAATGCCATTCAGCCTTTAAAATAAGGAGATATCACTTCACACTGGTCAGAATGGCCATGATAAACAGATCAACAAACAACAGGTGCTGGTGAGGATGTGGAGAAAAGGGAACCCTAGTACACTGCTGGTGGGAATGCAGATTGGTGCAGCCACTGTTGGAAAGCAGTGTGGAATTTCCTCAAAAAGCTGAAAATGGAACTGCCTTTTGACTCAGCAATTCCACTGCTGAGATTATACTCTAAGAATCCCAAAACACAAATTCAAAAGAACCTATGCACCCCAATGTTCATAGCAGCACAATTTACAATAGCCAAGTGCTGGAAACAACCTAAGTTGTTTCATCAGTAAATGAGTGGATCAAAAAACTGTGGTACATTTACACAATGGAACACTACGCAGCAGAAGGAAAGAAAGAGCTATTACCCTTCGCGACAGCATGGATGGGACTGAAGAGCATTATGCTAAGTGAAATAAGCCAGGGGGTGAAAGACAAATACCACATGATCTCACCTATAAGTGGATCCTAATCAACAAAACAAACAAGGAAAATATAACCAGCAACATTGAAAGAAAAAAGAAACCAACTGAAACGAGAGGGAAGGAGGGAGGGGGTAGCAGGGAAAGGAAGGGGAAGGGTCAAGTCAAGGAACATATATGAAGGACACAGGGACGGAGTCAAGGTGGGGAGGTAGGGGTGGGAGGGGCAGGGGAAAGTGGTGGCAGGTAAATGGAGACAAATGTATTTGAACAATAAAAAATAAATAAAGCAAGGGAATCCTGTAATATGCAAAAAACCAAAAACACATACAAAAAATCTTTAGTTTCTGAAGGTGGTTGTTCCTTAAAGATTAGTTGCAGTGTGAAATTGAAAACCATATCGATGAACTCTTCATACTCTTGTAGATTAAAATCTACTTCTCTATCTTGCACTTTGAATGGATCTTTTACCTATGCATGATTTTTAACATCATGCTTTGGTCATTTAGAAAATAATGGCTTAATGAGTTATTCATATTTTCCAAACATTGACGCATTATTGTACCATATTGAAGGGTCGCATTTGTTAATGTCACCATGAAGCTCATCAAGAAATCTTTAAGTATTTGGATAATGATTTTTTCAAATTTATAATTATGACTTGAAAGCGCAAAGTATATCTTGGATGGCAAATATGGTCAGTTGTTACCCTGGGCATAATAGGCTAACTCACTTTCTTTATTTTTAAGAAAATGATGTGCCATATACCTAATCATATTAACCACAGTTTTGCCAGACACATTTTTTCAAGTAATAATGGTATTTCAAGAAAAACCAGAGAGTTTGACCTGTCAATCAATCACAGCAGCGCTTTTCCTTAAAAGAATTATCATATTACAGTATGCAGCTGACATGTTAGCTAGGTACTTCCCATTTTGACACTCAGAATAATAAAAAGTTATTTATATAGCAGCCAAAATTTGATAAAATTTCCATGAAGAATCAAGAACATTCTTAAATAAAAGGGCATTGTTCTTACTGTGATATATGGTTGTAAAGAATACAATAACCACCACTACCTCTAATTATGCTAAAGCACTAGAACTTTTACCCACCATTGTTTCTTTTACCATCTGGGCAAATGCCAACACAATGAAAAAAAGTAAATTATGCCTTTTATGATTATGAAAGCTGTTTAGATTTTGTGATAGTCCCTGAAAGGGTCCTGCTGGAATAATGTTTCTGAAGCACATTTTCTGCCACGTTACTCCCCTGCTCAAAAGATTCAATTGTTTATCCATGCCCACAGGGAATTTTAAAAATTGAACTTTTCAACCTAGAATTTAAACTTTGCATGATCTTACATTAATTTTGCTTTCATTCCATATGCTTCTTTATGTAAACTGGCTCTCGACAACTGAAGTTATTGCTATACCTGTTACAGACCTTGGGAGTTTGCAGTTTCTTTCAATGGATTATGCCATTCCTTTGTCTGAGGGCGTCAGCTTTTCTCACATTCTTTATATACAGATCCTGCCTTTTATCAAGGTACAAATCAAATGAGGACTCCGTGGTATGACAGATCCCCCTTCTGAAGGCATACACCACTTTGTACCTCTCCCAAGTCACTTATTTTTTGCCTGGTCACAACCTCATATTCCCTGAAGTCCTGCAGGATGCTTTACATACAGTGGGTGCTCCATAAGTAATTGTTGAAGAAACAAGTGTTTGGCTGCATTGAGCTATTTGTTTACGTGTTTCACTGGAGCTACCATATGAGATTTCTGGCTGAAGTTAGTGCTGATGTCTTCATTCTCTATATAAAGTATTTCTTGTTGTGAAGCTTATCGCACAAGGCAACTCAACTCAACATTAATCTCATTAGCCAGTCTCTTCTTACCATTCTCAGACTCGTATAAAAGTCTGCCAACCAAAAGCATAAGGATGCTAAAATACTTTGAACTGTGTAGAAGGGTATTGATTTTTTTAAAGTTACGTTTGAAGGTTTATTGAGGTAAAATTCCCATTTAGTTATTTTCCTTGGATATCTAGTGAATTACTCAGAATAAAAGAATTACCCCTTAAATATATCATCTTATTCTTTTTCTTCTGATTTCAAATTTAAATATTTTATGGACCATAATGAAGAAGCATTGCTTGATTATGAAATACCCATACCTAAATCATTTCATATGGATGATTATTTAACTCAACAGCAAGCTAAATATGCTACCTATAAATTACATTAGAGACTAATGAAATCTTGCCTTTGAAGGAATTTCAGAGGGCTGATTTCTTTTCATAGAAGACCCTAAGAAAAATTTAGAATGTAAAAACAAAACGAGGTTTCAGTTCATTTCTCCATTTATCTGTCTAAATTGGGACCAAGCTTCCCATATTTTGTTGTTAGTGATTGCAGGTATAGAAGGATAAATTACATGTCTGGCCTGGAAACAAAGTGGTGCCTATTTTACTATCTTTCTATCCTTGAGAAATATGCATCTATTTTTCTCACTAGCTAAAATGGTATTTATAATGGACATATTGATATATCGATGTTAAAGGACTTATGAGTAAATGTAAAAGCCTTCTATAATTAGAAACCAAATCATTAAACTGAAGGGTTCAATGAAATGTATTTCAGTATAAGGACGTCCAGCACAAGTCTTTGCTCTACTAAGTCCAGTGGTCTGGAGGACAGTCTTGCAGATTCCGTATCTTCCGTATCTGTCTGGAACCAGAATTCAGATGTGCCCTCTATAGCCTGGATGACTTGACAAACTCTACCAAAACAGTGCTTGCTCCATAATGAGCCATTAGTTACACTGCTAGTACTGCTGCTGTGAACTTGGACAGCAGAATCCCAGACAGTCAGTCTAAGGTGATCCTCTAGTCACCGATGCCCTTGTCACTACCATCCCCATTGCCATTGGGGTGGCTGCTGCTAGGCATTCCCAGGAGTCAGGTGGGCACAGTTGGGTCTCTGTGGTCAGTTGCCCCCACCACAGATAGATTGATTTGGCTCTTTTGAAGAAGTTCTTTTCTGGCTATTGTAGGAGGGGGAGGGATGATCAGTTTTCTTTGCTACCCACTGGCCTGTCCAGCCTAACGTGCTCCACACCAGCTGATTCTAACCACTCTCACAGCCTCTCCCATACGATATAAGCCACAGAAATTTGTTGGGGACAGTTTCCCTTGTTTGTTGCTTCTTGGACCTAGAGCTTCTGCTTCCTTTTCCTAACCACTTGACTTAGTTCAGAAGCCAGACCTGCTTCCTCTCCCTTTCTGCCTCCACGGTGGTTGTGCATTGTAGCAAGTCTTCCCCGACAAGTCCCATTCACTCTGGCTCTTTCTGCAGCAGCTTTTAAGTGCTCATTTCAACAGGTTCTCAATCAGAAGGGAGAAAAAGCTAAAATTCTGCTTTTTCTTAGACTCTCTTCCAATAGAAATTTAAAATTTAATTTGTCGAAAGATGCCTACTTATCACAAAATACATTAGTTAATTCTACCCTGAACTTACTAATAGTGCAAGAGTTTCCTCCTTCACAAAATAGTCAATATGGATTTTCTTTGTACTCTGATTTTTTCCTGAAGAGCAGACATTTTTATTTAAAATATCACTTTGTTCATTTTGGGGCTTGGAACATAGAAGCAGATACCACAAACTAAAATAATTATTTAATCAAGAAAGGTATCAGCTGTGGTAGTTTACCCTCACAGATGTTAGAGTTGAGGTCATTTCCTAACCAGTGACAATTTCAGTTTTTGTTGAGAGAGTCCTGGATAATTTGAGAGACAATGAGGGGAAATCCAATGGAGTAGAACCAGAATGAATGGTCAAATTAATCCTGCAGTTGCCTATACCAAGAAAAGAATGTATACTTGTATGCGTGTCCTTTAAGATTTTACATGCATGTTATGCTTATTAGTAGCTTACTACATTTTGCTACTTTATCTGATGAATGCTCCATATATATAGATTTCAGCAGACTTTCGTGAGATGATATAGTTCAATTGATAGGGTTGAGATGACAGTGTTTGTTCTTCTCATCCCATTTGTAAAATGTGCAAAGAGAGTGTGTGTGCTTTTTCATTTCTTTGAATGTCCTTTAATGCTATCAATATTTTTATTATGATTTGCCTAGTTGGATACACAATGAATGACCTCATTTTTGAATGGCAAGATGAGGCACCTGTACAAGTGGCAGAAGAACTCACTCTGCCCCAGTTTCTGTTGAAAGAAGAGAAAGATTTACGATACTGCACTAAACATTACAACACAGGTAGGGCTTGAGTATTCTTCATCACACTTAACAACTTGTGGTTTTATGATAGTCAGATGTTTCTTAATTGTAGTGTTAGTTTAATTATTTTCACTGTAGCTAAATGTTTTCCATACTAATAGAGCAGAAAATGGAAACCTATAGATGCTTTGACTCATTGCATATTGTTATATAATTAGATTGTATGGGACCAAAAAAGTGCTTGATGTTTAATTATGTTTAATTTGTGTGTGTGTGTGTGTGTGTGTGTGTGAAAAGCCCATAATTACATAGTAATGGTGTTTCAAAAAAATTTATTTTAATTTCTGTGTGAGAAATAAAATGTACTTTTTAACACTTCTTGGGTAGTAAACATTGTGTTTGCTAACAAAATGAAAGCAATTGCTTTTTAATTTTTTCAGTAATAATGTCCCCTCCTTTATTTTTGATTATAGTAACTATTCCCCTTTTTTTTTTTTTGCTTCATCCATCTCAACTAGGATACTTTTAATTGCTAATTAAAATCACAGATAACCCCAAATAAATAGCTGCAATGCCATAAAATAAACAATAAAAAAAAATGTACTTTAGAAGACTCCATAGTCATTCTGTTTTACTAGTGTTACCATGTCAGAACTTGTACAACTTGTTTCTTTTTCTCTCTAGGACCACACATATTTATTATTATAGTTCTTCCCATTGATAGTCACAAAAACACTTTTTATAAAGCACAATGAGAGCTCTTTTTTCCTTGAAAATCATATGAACTATAAACAATTTAATCAAAGTACCCAAAGTATCTAATTTTTACTGATTACATCATGAGATGACTTGAATTATTTAACAGTTATATCATGAAAACATTTCATCATTCTTGATCTATTTTATTTCATTATTTTAAAACTTTAAAAATTTTTATTTTAAGAGTTTTAAAAATCAAAACTCTTTCCTTTTTATGGCCAAGTAAAATTCCACTGTGTAAATGTCCCATAGTTGTTTCATCCAGTCATCTACTGATGGACACTTGGGCTGCTTCCATATAGTAAACAATGTTGCAATGAACACAGGGCTGCTTATGTTCTTTTGTGTTAGTATTTTGGGTTTCTTCAGTTATATTCCCAGAAGTGGGATCGCTGGGTCAACGATGAACCTGGATAGCATTATGCTAAGTTGAACTAAGTCAGCCAGCAGAAGACAAGTACCACATGATTTCACTTATATGTGGTATCTAGTGAACAAACTGAACAAACAAGCAAAATAGAGATAGACTCATAGATGCAGAGCAGGCTGACAGCTATTGTGTGGAGGGGGAGAGGTTAGCGGGTGGAGGGATTGAGCAAAAAGGACTGCAGGACATGGACAAGAGTGTGATGATTGCAGGGGGAGAGGGTATTAGGGGGTTAAATGGGAATGGAAAAATACAATAAACATTTTTTTAAAAAGATAAAAATAAAAATTTAAAGTATTTTCATATACTTCAAGAATGGTTAGGCATTCTGTATGTATTTGATAAATTGATAACAAGATCATGTATAGTTTGCATATATATTATTAGACACTTAACTGTGGAATCCAACTCTCTAAGAGTATATGAAACTGTTAAGACTTTTAAGCTCTGGAAGCTCATCTATCCCTTTATCCTGCAGCCTGCCTGTGCATTACAGTAGCATGTGACTCAAGTCACAATAACAGAAGTTTTGTGCTGAACCTTATACTAGCAATACATTATTTTCCCTGATGTGCCCTTTGATTCTTTCTCTCATAATTAAAAAATGTCCCTTAAAGAAAGATCAGCATGTTAACACCCTGACCTTATCCTTCTTAAAATAGTTTGAATAAGCAGGGAAAAAAACCAAGAGTTAGGTGATTCAGAATAACAATTATTTTAAGGCGAGATGACGTGGTAATTGAATAGGGAATAGAGCCAGGGGATAAGCAGAAATATTAACAAAATGTTTAATTAAACTGCAATTTATAACTCTATTAATTACTAAAAAGACACAAAAGCATGAATATATAGAACAAATGTTTGTCAAGTTTCTTTTTAGTAAGTGTGTTTTTAAGTTATGTTCAAAGGTACTAATGGAAAATAACATACTTTCCTAATATTCAAAATTATTAATGCATAAAATAACTTACAGAAGTTGTATTTATGAAACTATTCTATTTGTCCTTTAGCACTGTAAAGTAAATGTAAAGTCTCTGGAACAAATAATGCCTCTGTCTAAATAAATAATTAAACCAGAAACAGTCAGTGAGCAAGGAAAAAACAGTCACTGAGTAATCTCTCCTATCGACCTCAGAGGTAATTGTTAGAATCAAGTGAAATATGTTTTTGAGTAGTTTAACAAATATGAAGTGCTAATCAAGTGCGAAGTAATAAGAATATATGCTATTTCCTGAAATAGTACATTCGTGTGTTGTTTAGAGATGCTAGCAGGAAAATTAAGAAAAATATTTTCAGAAACAAATTTACATATATGATTTAAGATCCCTTTTTGTTGTAGTAAAAATTTTAGGACAAAATTATCAAAACAAAATTGTGACATTTGGGGCCATAACAAAGACTATTTTTACCAACTGCTAAATTTATTTTATAACCAATTAGGAAAGTTTACATGCATAGAAGTACGATTCCATCTTGAACGACAAATGGGATACTATCTGATCCAGATGTACATTCCCAGTCTCCTGATTGTTATCCTATCATGGGTTTCATTCTGGATCAACATGGATGCTGCTCCTGCCAGGGTAGCTTTGGGAATAACCACTGTGCTGACTATGACCACGCAGAGTTCAGGGTCACGAGCTTCCTTACCAAAGGTGAGTGTGCCAAGCGAACACATGCACCTATTAGCACAAATATTTACATATGTATGAGTTATACACATTATATTATTGTTAGTTTTTGTCAGATCTTTTTCAATAGTACTTATTATTCATTATTCACTTTTAAGTAATATATATCCAAGGCCAAAAAAATTGTAAAATACAAAAGTAGATGAAGGAAAAAATTCTGCAAAACAATGATATCTTCTCTTCACAGTTTGTGTTATAACTCTCAATTATTTAAACATCAGTAATAGTCTTACACACTATAGAATTTTTATCTGTAGATTTCTATACATTTAGAAAGCTATCAAACATGTATGTAATGTAAATCTGCACAGTAACCTTAAATGGTGAAAGTACAATAATGAACATTTATATAATGAATATTATATATTAATATATATGCATACCTGTGTGTATATGTGTGTATGTGCATATATTTTGTATTATTAGTATAAAATCTCAGAACTGGAATTGCTGCTTTGATAGCTGTAAGCACTGGTTTATACTGTTAAACTTCCCATCAGAAAAATATATAACAGTTATACTTTCACATATATTTCACAAATATGTAAGAGTGCCGATAAAGCTGTGCTGAGTTAAATATATTATTTTGGGGTGTTTCCCCCATCTGGCTTTTAAGTTATCACAAGTCAATACAAAAGACAGCTCATTTAATACCATGATTTTAGTCCATGCTGACCTGCTGGAATTAAAACAAACTATGAGGTTTGTCAGAGACCCCATCTCTTTTCACAAGATATGCTGAAATAAAACTTAGTACCTTTTCTCATCCATTTAGCAACAGAGCCATAGAAAATTATTTTCTTCTTCTCAGTGACTCCTAAGGAAGAAATTTCTACTAAGTTAAGTAATTCTGCCTAACTTCCAATAAGTTTCACTATTTTCATTGTAATGATGTAAATATAACAACATTATATTCACTTTTCTTGTGCATTTGATGCAAGCCAACCGCCATGCCAAGTAAATTACAAATGTATAGTCATGGCTCCTCTATCCTTAATTCGGATTGCATTCTATGTTTGAATTTATTAGATTAAAATGTTCAAATACATAAAAGTTGATGGCAGGACATTTTATTACTAAAAGTGTTATTTAATATAAGAACCTGATATTTAACAATGCTCACTCTGCCTTGCTAAGATTTAATGATTGTCTTTCAAATTAAGGTTTATTTTTCAAAACTTAATGATATTTTCAAAATGATAGATATCAAGTAATGTTTTATAAAATATTGTCCAAGAGAAAATTATAAATCTACATATAAAACTAAAGTAATTCATTTCAATGTTTATTTATACAGCAGTAGGCAAAAGTAGGTTTATAGCTACATTGTGACAGTCTCCTGAGTTAATAAAGCTGTTGTAATAATTATAACCTGCATGTCTTTGCCGTACAAACAACTGTAAACCTACTTTTGCCCCCTCTGCATATGTCTAAATGTCTCAAGGGCCCTGAGTAATAAAGTTCTGTAGTTGATTTGTAAAGGAAATTGCCAGTTTACTCATTGATTTTCTTCACGAGCTAAACAGAAATCAAAGCTCATTTCTCTGTAAGTTGTCAACCAGAAGAGCACAAAATGCTTTAGAGTCGAGTGTTTCAGCAGCTAGGGGGCAAAATTTCAAGGCATTTGGATACAGAGATTAAGGCAGAGTTAGGAGATCATGGAGGTTTGGATGGAGGAAGCAGGAATTTAAAAAGCAGTAAATTAAAAAGAAATGAATGAAGACACAAGCTTGCTTTTCTTTTCTTTTCTTTTTTTTAAGGGAAGAAGGGTTTGGGATGGCTTCAAACATTTTCTCAAAAAGAAAAGATTTTTTAAAAGATATTTATTTCACTGTGATCTCAGGAAAAGAATGAATTTTTAACTATGAGTTCAATTATGAATAGAAATGTGTAGAAAGCTTCTACATCTCTCAAATCATAGAGACAGTGACCACTGAAAATGTAATAATATTTAATTCTGAGCTACAAAAAAAGAATTGATGAGCCAGATGATGTGTTAAGAGAAGGTGACCATATTCTTTTAGGCTTTGTGATAGTTTAGGAATGGAAGGTTGGGGCATATTTAGTAATGTACATTAGAATTCAGGAAGGCAGATGGTGAATAACCAAAATAAACAAGAATTTACAAGAAATCATTTAAAAGAGTAGAAGATTTCTTGAAAATTCTGACTCCATGAGTGGGTGCGGGAGGGACTAGAAAGGCAACAAACAAGAGACTCACATGAGCTTTTAAAGACAGATGCTGGAAGCCACGCACCTTAAGGTTCGCTATTCTCACCCTCACAAATGAACCTGCAGCTGCCTGAAAGGCTTGCCGCCATTCTCCTATTGACAAAATCTAGAAAGTAGGAAAACAAATTAAATTCTGGAAAACAACAGGGATTATCAGGCATAGGAAGAAGAAACAATAAATCATTAATTTATAACTGCTTAGTGTTTTGTCCAAGCTCTGTGCCAATATACATCTCCTGTAGAAAATGAAGGACTCAGAGTAAAGGTGGATAGGGAAGCAGTCAGAGGTAAATTTTCCTAAGTATAAAGGAAAGCCCAGAAAGGGGAGGAAAAGACACATTTATAGTTGGCCCTCCCTCTCCCTCTAGTTGGAATTTAACCAGAATATTCAAAGTCTCCTCTCTCCTTTCTCCCCCATGGCCCTCTCTCCCTATATACAGAATAAGTTAGGCAGTTTAGTTAAAGGTGACTCCTACTCACCCCAAAGTTTTTCTTCCAGACTGTGAGATCCCAACATTTTGTGGTATTTTTTTAAGACGTGTAAAGGCAATCTTTTCTGGGAGGATTTTTTAATCAGGATAAAAGAGAGGATAGTAATAATAATTTAATTATTTTTAGTATAAATATGATTTGTACTAATATCTTGTTAAGATCTTGGCACCAAAGGAATTATAATCTTTATTAAATATGGGGATGGGTAGAAATAAAGAAATAAAGAGAAGGCACAAAAGTCTAACTTTAATTTAGAAAGAATGGGCTCTAGAAAGGACCTTCAGTAAGGAACTCTGGGAAGATCATAGATAATCTGCAATACTGCATACACCTTTCTTTTCTCCTTCTAAAAATCAATTATTTCTTATTAGAGACATATTCCCAATCTTTTTTTCATCCTGTTTATAGGTACCAGCTAAGATCTAGCTTTCTTAAATATAAATATATATAAAATATATATATTTTACTTGGAACACAAGAAGTAAGCTTTCTTTATTTTCTAATGATAAATAACTTTGCAAAGTAGAACAAATGCATTTTTTTGAAAAGATAACATGATATAAGAAGTTTACAGAATATGATGCTTACATTCCTTTCCCTGCATTATAAAATATTTTTTTAGAATGAAAAAGATAAAGCCTTGCAGTAATCTAGCTCTGCACACTCAAGTAATTTATCAAGTTGATCTCTTCATACTTATCATATGACAAGTTGGCAATGGTCTCCTAGCTCACAAAAAAACACTTCATTATAATTAACATACAAATGGTGTGGAGGAGACTTTCATTGTACTTCAGAGGATAAAATGTTTGCCTGATCTCACGTTGCTTCCCCACAGCAACCAGTTTGTTTTTACATGATAAATATAATGCTCTTATCACCTTTGCTACATTGTCTGCTAGGAAATTGATTGTTTTTAGGATTAAAACCAAAAAGTAATGAAGACTTAAAAATATGTACTTTGTGTACTGACTTCACATTTAACTGACAGATAAAAGTTAAAGAGGCTTGAATGTGAAAATACAGAGATTTATTCTTGTGTGTTCATAATTGTAAATTTGTAGTGGTAGCTTAAACAGAAGGAACCTAATAAGTAGGTGATATATAACAGTAGTCAATTTTATGGGCTCTGGAGCCAGGGTAGTTGTAGTCAAGTCTTAGCTTTGCAACTTGGTAGCTTGTCTTAGTCCAACCTGCTATGATAAAATACCACAGACAGAATGGCTTATAGATGATAGAAATTTATTTCTCACAGTTCTTGGAACCTGACAAGTCCAAGATCAAGGCACTGGCAGATTTTGTGTTGGGTGTGTCTGGTGAGGGCCCCTTCGTGGTTAATAGATGCAGGATCTTCTCCCTTCTCCCTGTGTTTTTCCATGGTGGAAAGGGTGAGCAACTTTCTGGGGTCTTTTTTATAGAGCACTAATCTGTCCTTTTAAAATTCAGATGCAGCATCTGAATTTTGAAAGGACATATTCAGTCTCTAATGGTAGCAATGTGACAAGTGAGTTTACTGGGTCTCAGTCTCCATGTCTAAAATGGAAATAATCTCAGTAGTTGTGAGGATTAAAACTGTTACTTTTAGACAACTACTCAAAATATTTAGTAGTTCTGTGGACATTACTAAGAACATTCTCTGGCATGTTAGCTATTAGAACTACTTCTCTATAATAAATGGCCAATGATTGTATATCACTCCACATGGTTCCTTCAAAGCAACATTATGCAAGAGCCTGTAGTATAACAAACACCATGCTAGGTCCTAGAAATACAGAGATGAATAAGATCTGACCCTTTTTTCACCTTATGGGATATATTAGCCTAAAAAGAGAGAGATACATAAATGAATAATGTGTGAACAGTGGTCAAGGTCAATAGTTAAAGATGGATCTTCTCTATCTTACTCCTCTCTGTAACTCAACACTAAGAACAGAACTTGGGTGCATTAATGGTGTTCAGTACATGTTGACTTAAAAAAAGTGAATGAACACAAATGTAGTAAGAGAAGTAAGTTAGGATCCAATCTTGAAGGGATTTATGCACCATAAGACATATTTTGGATATGTGTTCAAGTGGTAATATTAAGGAGAGATTGATGCTTAAAATAGAATTAGGGTTCCGATAGCACAGTGGACCACAGGACTGTGGGCAAGGTGTTCCCGAAGGAGGAGATGAATTGGAATGAAACTGCCCCAAAAGGCAGACAGCAGGCAGTAGGGTATGGAAAGAAGATGATAATTTAATTTTGAACCACATAGGGAGTGTGTTACAGCTTATGAGTATGTAACGAATGTGTTGGAGTAAGAATTGCTGTCTTTATTTGAAGTTACTAAGCCTAGAGTTCCAAACTACCCAGGTCCAGAGTTCGCTGTACTTCTAGGATCAGTGAGAGTGGAAGAAGAGAAAAAGAGTTGAAATAGGTGAATAAGGTAAGAGGAAAGAATGAGGAAAGTAGGCTTTTAAGCTTCAACAATTGGGAACTGTTCATCGTGAACAGAACTCTGGCTGACACAAAGGGTGTTTGCATGTGTCTGTTGTCACTGAAAACATTCATTGGATTAATTTGGAAATTAAATTTCTGATTTAATCTCTGGTTCATGTCATTATGCATTCAGGTTGGTAAAGAGTGCTTTTGAAAGCAAAATACATCTTCCAGGACTGTATGTATTTGAAGGCAACTGCAGAACTTATGAGATGTAAATTTATACTTTACAAACAGATGGACACTTAGCATAGCAGATGAATGAAATGAGGGCATGCTTCTCTTTGCTCAGTTGAGGTCATTCTAATTAGCAGAAGTCATGCTTAAGATACAGGAGGTGCGGCAGAGAGCTCCTTTGTTGGCATATTTCATATGTAAGTTGATACCATTGGAGGTGTCAAGAAATGACCTCTTTTTAAAAGAAAATCAATCCCATCCAAGTTATTAACAAAGCATTACCCCAAAATGTGAATCTTTATATGATTCATCACCTATGATTCATTCTTTCCCTGTATTTTAACATTTTACACCTTCATTTATCTGTCCATTCACTCAGCAAATATGTATATGCATGTCAAGCACTATTGTCATGGGAAATAAAACAGAGATGCCATATGCTTGTAAAGAATTCACAGTTTCGACAGAAATCAAGTAAGAAATAAGCAGTTACAGTGCAACATATTCAGGCAGACACAGATGTCATGGGATTTGGAACAGACTTGGGCAAAGTCTGGCCTGAGGCCTAGGAAAGGTGGCAGGGAGGTGTTTCCTTACTGGATTTTCTTTTCCCTCCACCATAAGCTTTCCCAAATATTAAGCCACCTCACCTTTGAAATCACAACCTAAATTTGATCAAGATTTCCACAGATTGACATTTAACAAAAATAACTTCACCAAATATTAAAGGTGCTGAGAAAGGAAAAATATACAGAAGATAGAAACAGCATTGAAATAGATTTTCAAAGTGTAAAGTTTTGTTTCTTAAGGTAGTTACAAATTGGTCCAAAAAAGGAGGTAGTGCATCTTTGCCTACGCTTGCCTTTCTGCGCTTCTGGAACTGCATCTTCCTGGGAAAGGGACATTTATTTCTATTGGTGGGAACGCAAACTTGTAGGTAACTGTCCCTTTCCTGGGAAAAACAGAAAAAATAGTTCTTATAAATATCTTTTATTATTATTTCTAATAGTTGGCAAATGAGTTTTTCCCCTTCATCTAATTGGCATGCCTAAAGTATGAAATAGAATGATTGAGCTCATGCTTATTCCACAAAAGGTAATTATTTTACTGATACTACTTGCATGCCAAAACACTTTAGCTGTGTCATGCATACACATATACAATAGAAAATGATGCTAAAATGCAAAAGAAATTTTCATCCTTGAACAATATCTGTATCAGCAAATCACTGTCCAACTAGCCTGAGAACAAGAGCAAAGCAATTTCTTAAAAGTTACTGAACTGTTCTCGCCAAAGGACTTAGGCCTATATGAGTCTGTCTCTAGGAAGTAGGAGGCTAGCTCTGCTTTTAACTCTTCCCTTTCTTCAATTTCTCAAAATAATAATTTTAAAGTTCTCCGTTCTTTCTCTTCTTTTCCATTTTATTCTGTCTTCTTCCTTACCTTCAAGGTGACAGATGACAGCAAGACCAGCAGCTAAGGAAGTGGTCAGGGTCAGGGAGGCTGACTGGGGCTGGCAGGACCAGAGTCCAGGAGTCAAGGTGATGGTCAAGACCAAGGCAGCCAGCAGCGCTTTTAGCTGTGTGGCCAGAACCAGGGAGGCAGATGGGACCCATGAGGCTCAGTCTGGGGGTGACCAGCAGGATTAAGATATTAGTTACATCTAGGGTTTATAATCAAATATATGGGAGCCAATTTTTTCACGGCAAGGAAAGTGTTACATACATGGAAAGAGTAAAGGCTAGAATGAACTCTGTGCTATTGAATTGGAACTTGAAATAACCAATGTTAATTAACATTTAAAATACAGATAGATGACTAATAGGTATGTTTGTATATATGATATACAATATACAATAGTATAAAATGTATAGTTGCATAATTATAAAATATAAAATATTATACATGTTATATATACAGGGTCCAGCACAAATAATGTCCCTATTTATTACAAAATCATAAGCATGTAATTCTGTAACATAACAACATCACACTCAAGCACAGTATATGACATTTTAGGTGAAATGTTCAAATTAAGACTATAAATTATTATACCCATATTATTACCCTACCACCACACTCAAGCAAGCATTACTTCTGCCAGACCCTGTATTGTGATACACACACACACACACACACACACACACACACACACACGAGTGGGCAAAAAGAGGTTTACAGTTGTATGTGAAACAGTTTATCCTTTTTTTAAAAAAAAGATTTTATTTATTTATTTTTAGAGAAAGAAAGGGAGAAAGAGAGTGAGAGAAACATCAATGTGTGGTTGCCTCTCACACACCCTGGACCAGGGACCTGGCCTACAACCCAGGCATGCGCCCTGACTGGGAATTGAACTGGTGACCCTTTGGTTCACAGGCCAGCACTCAATCCACTGAGCCACACCAGCCAGGGCCAGTTTATTCTTTTATTATTATTATTAATTATTGTATTATTTATTACAACTGTAAGCCTACTTTTTTCCACCCCTGTATATATAATTCTTAGCTCTGTCTCCTAAGAAGGCCTAGAAACAGTGACACCCAGGAAGCAGTGAGCACACCCAGTGCCCAGATCTTGGTTTCTAAAAACTGTTTTTCACTAAAGAAAAGATTCTAAGAGAAAGGGCTCAATCCAGAACTGGAACAGGAAAAATACAAGATGAGTTTGGAATACCGTGTGCCAGCAAGTAAGGATGTACTCAAATTATGATGGAGACTTGCCAAAAGAAACTATATGGGCTAACTTCTAGGAGCTCCTACCGACCCAATCTAGATAATGTGAACATCAACATAGTGATGTTAATGTATTATAATCCACTGAACAAAACCGTTAGTCTTAGTTCATAGGAATATAAATAAATAAAATAGTATTAGTAATATAAATAGTACTAATATTTATAAATAATATTTTATATGTGTTTAAATATTTATATTTATATTTATAAAAATAGTACTAATGTTTATAAATAGTAATATAGATAAATAAATGAGTAAACAAATGTGTGAGAGAAAAACACTTCTCTTACTATATATAATGCTAACTAATGAATATAGATAGAATGATGGAATTAGAAAATCATTCTAAGTCAACACTGTAATAATAGGTTCAGGAAAGTATCATCGATGTGTAGAAGGTGAACATTTAAAGACTAAAAGGATGTTTATGTAATTTCAAATCATCTCCGCACAAGGGAAAATTAGTAACTTTGTGGTAGAGAAACTTTGTAGACAATACCTTAACCAACTGATCCACATGGAGTGCCTCTTGATGTGACACCCTGGGAAGAACAGGGCATCACAGTTTCCATTAAAATGTCATTACCTGAGTCTAAAAAGGAAATATCAGATAAATCAAAAGCAAGAGACATTAAAAAATAACTGGTCTGCACTAATACAAAACATCAAGGTCACAAAAGGCCTGGAAGACTGAACAAAATTCCATATTGAAAACTAAAGAGAGTAGATGAGAATATGCAACACATGATTCTACAATATATATATTAAATCTTAGACTAAAAGAAAAATGGTTTTCTGCTAGAAGAGGCATCATTGAAACAATTGGTGCAATGGGAATGAGGTTTTAGAATTAGATGGTAGTGTTTTATCAATGTTAAATTCCTGATTTTGTTGGATGTATTAGCGTCATGTTAGGAGAGTATTCTTTTCTTTTAGAAAATACACAAGTATTTAGGGATAACGGGGTATCATGTCTGCATATTAGACTCAAACGGTTCAGGGAGAAAAACATAGAAGCAGATGTCTATGTAGATGTAGATGTAGATACAGATGTAATAATAGAGATAGAGATATACAAATAAACAAATGTAACCAAATGTCAACTACAAATGTGGGATTTCTTTTTACTGTGCTTGCAACAACTGCAAGTTAAAATTATTTCAAAATAAAACACTTTTTAATGAAGAAAATTTGGAGCTAAAAAGGTAAACAGCATTATCTATGTTTCAATCTTAATACTTTTTCAAGCATTGTACTATCGTGAAGTCATATTAATGTGACTTCACTTTTCAAGCATTATACTATAGAATCCTACAGGTAAAGTTATATTTCACCTTATTTTTCTTTCACGATATGTATGGTCTAGTATCTCACTAAAAAAATTAACAAAAATTTGTATTTTAGTGTATGACTAACATATAAAGATTGCAAAATTAATTACTAAAAAATTCTTAATTAAAAAAATGTTGGTGTCATTTCTTTTTTTCCAAGCTGGTATGTAAATGGTATAATTTAGAATCAGACATTCAACTTCATCCCAATAAAAGTAACAATACATGTCAATTTGCTCATTCTCTCTTTCTCTTTCGGCTAGGTTTCATATGTCAAAGCTATTGACATTTGGATGGCAGTATGCCTCCTTTTTGTGTTTTCAGCACTTCTGGAATATGCAGCTGTAAATTTTGTTTCAAGACAACACAAAGAACTTCTGAGATTTCGACGAAAGAGAAAGAATAAGGTAAGCGATTAAATGCTTTGGGTTCACGGGGATACCAGCTTTCACTAAAAACTGAGTGTTATATTTAATTAAATGTGTGGAGAGGAAGTGGAGACTGGGAACTAAATGATATGTTTCTTTGGTTTTGTCACTGAAACTTAAATTGTCAGAAATAGCTTCCGGAAGAAAATGGCAACATCTAGCTATACTTCATACAGCATATCTGGTGACATGAAAGCTTTATCAACTTCTCCCTCTTTTATTTTCTGGAATGACATCATTTTTTCCTTCCATTAACAAAAATGTATCATTTCTTATTTTCAAGGTTAGAGTGTTTCTAATGGCTTTACTTGACATGTCATCAAATGTAACTATTAAAGTTCTTTCTTTCTTTGAACTAATTCCTTTGTCTCCATCAAAAATATTACCTATTTATTAACACTTTGATGTTCATGTAGAACTATTTGGTCTCTTTTTTATGCACACTTTCATGTTTTAAAGACATTTCCTCCAAATTCCCATGTGAGCACAATAAGGTGTTACTTTTGTCTTGTGTTACCTGGTCGATGAAATCCAGAATTGTTACTTGGAATATCACTGGGAGATCACAGGAAGCTGTTGGATTTAGATGTACAGGATGAGGCTGTTCCTCTCTATTGAGACTTGTAATGTCATCTCTTTTTACATGCACATAGTTTTAATCAACCCTTTTCTTTTTCTGTAAGGAAGAGTTTCTATTGACCAGCATATTTGTGACTTGACTTTTTTAAATGTGAATGTGCCAGCTGATACGTTGAAAGCAAATGGATTCTTAAGCAACTGAGAAATATCAAAGTTCATATAATGTGCATTTTTAAGGATTTAATTTTTTTAATGCTTCCCTCTGATTTCTGATTTACTGACGTTGATTTAGAGATTCATAACACCTTTTTAAAGCATTTAGTTATGATCTTCAGTGGTGAGCATACTCAATATTCATCATCTGCTACAGCAATCACTTATGCAGTCATGTCTAACTGATTCCCAGAATGATCACCTGCTCTAACAAACGCCCAATTGAGTGTAGTGTGGAAGGGGCATTAGCACTGAGATACTCTGGGAAATGCACTGGACAAAAAGGAATGCTAGATCTTGCCTTTGATCAAATTTTTATGAAAAGAAAAGCATATAATTTGTACATGAAAACATTTTTATGGGAGATTAATTTTTTTTTAATCTGCTTCCCCTGACTTCACCCCTGTTGGCTGGTTTTCTTATACTAGCCTCATTCTTCCTCACTCTCCCTTTCTCTCTCTTTTTTCCCCTATTTGTTCCCCTTTCTCCTTTGAGATGTGGAACCGGCTGAAACACTATAACGAGACCAAAAACCATTCTGCACCACAGGGCTGAAGCTCTCGTCTTTCTTTCCCCTTAATGACTGATGGAGACACATCATCCAACTAATCTCATTAATCTTAAGTAAGGCAATACTCATTTCCCCTCTAATTCTGGTTGGCTTTTTCAGATTTACTTTTCATTTCCCTCCTTTCCCCCGCCTTTTTACAATTTGCCAACCCTGTGCTGGTAACACTAGAAATGAGAAGTATCACACACATGGTGTCCCAATGCGGGCTGAGAGCGCAGGCGTTTTCTCCTTCCGCTGCACACCCAGCAGTCGCGGTGTCCGGAGGGTAACACAATGGACTGCAAGGTCACTCACTCAATTCTGGTTCCTCCCTTTTTTAAAAATTTTAGTGTTACCCTGACTAACGCAGTTCTTCATTCAGTCTGACCACTTATAGGAACATTGGAATACAAATATTTGACATTCCTTCTTGTGTAGCTCAACGAAAGACAGCAGCATTAATTTTTCTACTGTTTGGCACTCTAGGAAAATGCAGAAAAAATAATAACATCTTATTATTTTCCAGTCACTATTTGAAATACACAGGTAGTAAATATTGCAATTAAGATTTAGTGCAGAAAAAAATTTAAATCTTTTTTTTTAGTTAATTTAATACTTTGGGGAGAGGATACCTTTCATATGTGAAAATCAATTAATATACATGATTGGTAAAATGGTATATGCAATTAAAACCAATTGTGCAGTTATATTTAATCATGCATGCCTTGATTCTCTGGTTTCTCAATTCCTCTTGGTCCACTTTACCTTCCCACAGACAGAAGCTTTTGCATTGGAGAAGTTTTACCGTTTCTCAGACACGGTAAATTCACTTTCTTAACTCTAAGTAGAGGAATGTGGTCATCAGTAAAAAGCAGAGAGCATATTCTGCACCCAGGCAGTGTCTGGTGGGGAAACTCAGCCCCTTGCTTTTACATAGGGCCAAACAACCACCATCCCATGTCAGCTAAGAATAACCTCTTTTTCTAACAAATCCCTTTGTCTTCCCTCACTTAGTAAAAGGATATTTACATATTCTCCTTCATCTTATTAACCAAGTTATTTGATTGATGAAAAAGATTTTTAATATATACTAAACAGAAATAGTACATATATCTTATCACAGTATCAATAGAAGAATGCTTTGAAATAAATGGGAAATTTAATTATACAAAAAGTTCTAAAAGCAGCCCCTATTCCCAGAAAACAGAAATCTAAAAATAAGGCAAAAATAAAAAGCTTTGTCCAGTCTGTGTATCTTTAGTACCGATTCTGAATGTTAAAATTTGTTGAGATTCTTTATTGTAAATGAATAACTTTGGTTTTGATAGTAGCATCCTTTGAAATGTTTGATTAGAAAGAGATCACAGGTCCCAATTCAGTGACTGAATTTAAACCTACCAGAGCCAAGAATTTAGCCTAGGAAAACATATACAAAAACAGCCCACTAAACTAAAATTTCTGGGGGAAAAAGTGCATTTAAAAACCTCCACAGGCGTTTCTATCACCTGTTTCAGTTAAGAACAGACATAATGTTAGATAAGTAGACAAGAGACATAATATTAGGTTAATAGTAAAGTAATCCCAACTTTATAGCAGATACCTAGACCCAGTATTAACTTAAAGCACTTAAGTTTTCTTATATTATAATATATAATGCCTCAACGATTTTTCTTTTCTACTAAAGTTGCATATTTGTTCCCAAGATAGCTAGCCATTTCTCTTTCATTTTTTATCCCTAAACATTTTTTTACATGATCCATTACCTTTACTCAATTATCTTAACTGTAAATTTAAACACTTTAAGTTGTATTGAGTTTGCATAATCACATATAGTAGCCTTTTTGGGAGAGGTATGTTCTGGGGTTTTCAGTTACTAAACAGTTAATGCTTATAGGAGCTTTAGTATAAAAGATACATATTTAATTAAATAGTGTTTTAAAACACAGTGCAAAAAGAGCTCTGATGAAAAATCAGGTTTACCTCAGTAACAGTCAATATTGACTTATTTTAAAAACAGAAACAGAATGATTTGTAAATACATTCACTAAAAATTAAATGCACCACATTTATAATTATAATAATCATCGTGAAATTTTTGGGTTAATCATTTTACTTTTTAAAGACTATTTTCCCAACCTAATAACTCTCTGGGCTGACTGAATTCATCATTTTAAAAAAACCTGTGTTTGAAAACAATCTGATCAATCTAAATCTTTCAATCAAAATAATCAAAATGAGTCTAAATGTTGACCCAGTGCCCTTTCTTTTCATGAGTAGTACTTACTGGCTTACCTGAGTTTTTTTTTTTAGAACTCTAATTTGCCAGAATAGGCAAAATACAATAGCCTCATAGAAAATTTGTCACAACAGGAGACCTTATAGTGATGTAAATATTATTCCTAGAAAAGTTTTAACTTGGTTCGGCATTGGCTTAAGCATTGTAGGCAATTTTTTATACCTCACCTTTTCCTCTATGAAGGTTCAAGTGACTCTTTTGTCTACTGTGGAAGAATAAGAGTTTGCTCTTGAGTGCAAATTTCCCCACCCCACACTGTCAGAGCCTGCGATGTGCACTTTACCCACTGCACCTGGTCATGGCTGCTTATCCCCAGTGATGTGTATGCGTGGGTGTATGCATGGCATGCAAGTATTTTGGTTAGAAGTTGCTCTTCCCATGTATGATACCATTACATTAGTTCCAGAGGGTTATTAAGACATGCCAAAATATTTCTGAACATAGGTGATTTGTTGAGAGATATGGATGATATGTGATTGCTTTAATGCATTTCATTTAGTTTCTCTTCTGAGTTGCAATATAATGTGATGGTGCACTGGTTTGCTGAGAGAAAACATTTACACAGTATTGTAGTAATTCCATCTTCCTACTAATTGTATATTAATTGTTAAGTATATACATACACAAATGAAAGAAGCATGGACCATTAGTTCTAGATTTTGAAAATAATTGTCAGGTTTATATGTTGCTAGGCATGACAGTTATCTTTCTAAAATAGAGACATTGTTGACTGTATTTTGACTATTTCTACAAAAGCATTACTATTTTATTTAATTATGTATTTACTTCAAAAATAACTCAAGGTAACTTCTAAGAATGACAAATAATTGATTTTGTTTTGTATATTTTGTCAGCTCTATAGTCTTAGGACAAATACAAATATACCTGCACACTATTTTGGTTGAAGGGATGAGGCTCCAGAGCTGAAAACAATGTGGCCCCCATATACACTAAATTATTTAATAAAGTTTTCATTCTAGGTCAATTTATCCTGATTCTAAAGTATAAGATGTTCTTTCAATAGGTAAATATTTCCTATAAATTTCTTTGATACACACCTGAAGACAAGTAGTTTCCAAATAATTTCAAACAGATTCTATTTATTTCAATGATTCTAATGTACAAGGGTTAGGAATGTCATCTTCTCAAGTAAAACAAAAATTGTAAGAATTTAATTATTTTATGCAAATATTTAGTGTTTAGGTTCAACACAGCTATTTTCTTTTTTTAGAGCTATAGTGCCTCTGAATAGCTGTTTAATAAAAAAATTCAATGAAGTAATAAATCTTTAATCTAATTTTATATGCATTGTAGGGATTTCCATCTCAAAGCTAACTAAAATGGATTTAGAGTACTGCTTTTTACATATGCTGTCTATTACATTATGTCACGCCATGAATATCAGTTGGCACTGAAATCATCTAGCATATTATGCTAGGTATATAGATAATTTAAAATCATTTCATTGATTTCTCATCAATCCCGTAAAATATATGCATTGCATTTTTTATAGTATTTCATCTAAAACCTTCATTTTTAAGCTTGCATTTTCCATTCAATAGTCTCCAAACCATTTCTGAATCTAAATTTAATATGCCAAGCATAAACTTGGTTAATTGATAATTAATTCATATGTCATCGATAATAAATGCAAGGTTTTCCTAGGAGCTAGATTTTAAAGAATATTATATTAGCAATTGACTTGTAACTTTAAAGTTGTTTTAAACCTTATCTATAATTGTATTCTTTTAACCCTTCTATTTTAAAATAATAGAGAAACATATGTAGATGTATTAAATTGAATATTTTATTTTAGGCTAATATTTAGTTTAGAAAAACAGTTTTAAATCATACAGAGTGTGGGTGGGATGGGTCCGGGGGGTTAAGGGGGAAAAATTGAGACAACTGTAATAGAATAAATATGATTTAAAATTTAAAAAAAAACAAAAAAATAACCAAATCATTCACATATTTCATCTTACCTTAGAATTTTCTAAGTGATGGTAACTTTTCCCAACAAAAATAAGTTATTATGTTATTAGTAAATTTTTTAAAATCCATATGCTTTAAAATCATGTAACTGGGAATTAATCACAATTCATATTTCCTCTGTCACTTTCTTATTTGACAATTAAAAGTTACAGAAAATTAGTTAAACAAAAAATCCTTTGGGATAATCTAGTTAACATCTTGATTGTATAAAAAACACCCCAAATGTACCTACTAAGGAAGAAACATTAGGATAAAAATAACATTTAATACTGCTGTATCTCACAACCATTCACGCAGTCATTATTGATAATCTCTGATGCTTACTGTTTTGTTATCACTTACTGATGACCTTCATGCCCTCACCGTTCCCACACACACATCAGATAATTTTTTGTTCCTTTTTGAGGACTAAGAAGAGGATAGGAAATTCTTACCTCATATATATATTATGTTTGAGGATAGAGATGAAATGAAGCAATTCAACTAAGTAACTATGTATGTCTACACTTGGATTTCCAATCTATCTTTAAAATTTCTTGTTACAATATGCATGTTACACGAATCAGTCTTTGGCATAATTCTCTAAATAAAATGAAAAGCATTTAGAATGTTTTTCAATATGGTATCAATGGTTAATAACTGAAACATTTCTCTAATTTCCAAATTTAGTGAAAACAGGTACTCCTGTAGAAAGAATTGTGTACTAAATAAGTGACTTTTTATGTTCTTCATTGCCTACCCTAACTTGATTAAATTATATTAAGAGGATTTACTTGTGTGTAAATTAACTATTTCTTCAATTTTACCCTTTTAATCATCCATGTTCTTGAGCTCAGTTTAGTTTATTCCATTTAATTTTTATTAATACCTGTATTTTGAGTTGTAAGGTGCCTTAATTTTATGAACATTAAATATTGGCTAATACATAGTGTCAAAAGTTCTAGATGTTTATCTAAACACCTTGCTTTTTGGGCCTTCAGTTTATTAGAAACTCAAGCTGAAAATACCTTCAGAAAATTGAATTTATCTCAAAGAAACATTTGAGTGATACTTGGAATACAGAATATCACTGCATATCGAAATGTACATAAACAGAATAATTCTATCACTGAGTTTACAAAGCAATTAGTCTCAAAATAAGTTAATACACTTTTTAATATAGTAATCTAATATCAGTGATGAGCTATTAGAAAAGCTTCAACCATGCTTAAAATCAATACTTTATGTGGAGCATTTCCAAAAGAACCAATAAGCCAGTCATTTTTTTAAAAAAATCACATGACCTCTTTGAAGTCTAGTGGTCCATATTCTCTCTCACATTCTGACTGCCTCGGGTACACAGAGAAGTCTGATCTAATAGCTGAGGTCCCATTTCTGAAGCTGTAGCACGGCTCCATGTGCCTCATGTAATGGGCAAACCTAAACTATTTTTGCTGTTTCATGGAACATATGACAATGCTACAGCCTGCTTGATTGCAGAAATTAGATTTGCAAAGAATCCTGACAGTCATATAGCAAACCCCATCTATTGC